ACTTAGTTGATTGATGCTGTATTCAGCACTTTAACTCCAGAGTTTCATAGAAGAATCGTTTTTGTAATTGTTCAGTTCACTCGTCAGGAGGTTTCGGCAAGTGACTACCATTTTACTCATCTTTCTTTTTTTTATACTAATACTGATGTAATTAATTTTAACCGCTAGTTGGAAGCTCTTATTATTTGTGTTAGGTTGATTCTTTTTTCTCTTGTGTGTGTATGCGCGCGCATGTGCTTGTGTGTATGTGCATATGTCAATTGCGTCAAGATGGATATACCACCAATCAGGTAAGTGACAATATATATATATATATATATATATATATATATATATATATAGATAGATAGATAGATAGATAATATTAGTGGTCAATATATATATATATATATATATATATATATATATATAAAAATTCCCAAGAAGATAGAATCCAGGTAGAACTCAATGTCCAGGACAGGGTAAGAATATAATATAAAAGGCTCAAACACTAATATCCCATGGTTATAATTTATTACATTCGAATCGTAATCACGATCCAAATTCATGAGACCTACAAATTTGTAGGCATGATGAAGTGGGCACTGAAGTTAACACCCAGTGACATTGGCTTACGTTCACATCATGTTGAAACACCAGTTCTTGTACGATCACCGATGTTAAGCAACATGGAGCCTGGTCAGTACTTAGATCGGTGACTACTTGGGAATACCAGGTGCTGTCAGTTCAAATATCCGGGTAGTGTAATGGATAATGACTCTAAATTCTAAATCGGAGAGCCGAGTTCCAATTCACATTGGATTCATTATATTCAATTACGCACAAATCCCTTGGAAAACGTAGGAATCCACATCTTCTTCCCTCAACTATGGGTTAATTAGTAAGACTTGTATCGCTAAATCATTATTATATCTCCCCCACACCCCTGAATTATTAACGCATAAAAATATTTTATGGCTTTAAATAACCTTCAAAGGGCTGACAAGCCGTACAAAACGAATCAATAAAAAACACCCTGTGGCGACAGTCTGTTTCTTGCTTGAACGCAATCTTCAGGATATTTTGGAAAAATTTTTTTCGCTGTTTAGAACGACAGTGGTTTGTGCTTGAAAACAAAACCTGTTTACCATGATGTCATTATATGTACTCTATTATATGCATCAATCATGTACCACTTATTGAGCCCACATCAGTAAATTTGACATATTTCACAAATGGAAAGATAAGATTTTTCATGAAGAATTGTTCACTAATTGTGGGATAGCTTCTGTGCTTTGCAAACATAGACGCCATCTTGATGTAGTCTCAGCTAAGATGGGCAGGTCATCTAATAAGAATGTCTGTAGAGTTCCGAAAATTCAGTCAGTTTCTTGGTGGTCAGCGTAAAGTATGAAGACTCCTTCTGAAATATTTAAGATAGACTCAAAGATAATCTAATATCAATTAGAATGCAACTAAAAAAAAAAAAGAAATCATCCCAAACCATGAAAACTGGAAAATCTTTTACAAACAATAATTATGCGAAAATTAGGATGAAATTGAGAGAAAATCGTGCAACCAATGTGTCAAAGCAAATTCAACTAGTTTGCAATAAATATGGGTTATCTTGGAGATGTTCGAGATTTGTGTTACACAGCAGGCGCAAACATAAACAACAGATGGTGTGAAAATAGTAATTCTTTGACCCACATATATTGAAAACAGTCAGAGAGAGAGAGAAAGAAAGAGAGAGAAAGAGAGAGAGAGTCCATTATCATATATATGTAAGCATCTGTTTATTTCGTGAGATAATCTAGCGCCCAGTTTGGTCAAAGTTCAGTCCTTTGGTGGTGTGACCTCTCCAGGGCGCAGGCCTGAGCGATGGTATATGAAGGCAGTGCGATGCCCAGGCCGCATGGTGTCGTTCTTGGGCGTTCCGACAAGATCCACATAAATGTAGAACTTGGCTGCATGTGTTGCTGGAAGGTTGTCAGTGTTGAAAGCTAATCGTTTTCGGGGTTCCACACTAGATTTTCTGTCTGAATTTATTTCCATTGCCTTTTTCGTGCTTGGGTGTGACTGCAAGGTGACGGTGGTCTAAAATCAGGGTTTTCCTTCTGCTATATGGACTATTTTTCCCGGCTAACGGAGTCCATCTACATAAAGTAGCTGGTTATGAGGCACAGTGGTCCGCTTTCGCTCCTTTTCCGACTTGGAGCTGGACTTTGTTGTCAAAAACTATTGAGACGTATTCCATGCTAGCATTTTATAGACAGTGAGATCTAGTCCACATTACCACCCCTGATTGTGACTACTTTTGGAACATATATAATGTACATGTATAACTATCATATATATATATTACACGTTTTAGAAGCTCCCTAAAAATTATTTTTTAATATAACGTTAGATAAACGAAAGCACTAGAATGCAAGATAAATTGCAAAAGTGTATGGACACACACACACACACACACACACACACACACACACATATATATATATATATATATATATATATATATATATATATATATATTCAGTTGTCCGGATATGAGTTTGTGACCCTGGGTTTCACGCTTTTGCGATCATCATAATATATATATATATATATATATATATATCTTACTTATTATAAAACGCAGATTGTGTGTGTGTGTGTGTGTGTGTGTGTGTGTGTGTGTAACGTTTATATATTGGATCGGATTTCCTACATTTTTCAATCGATTTCAACAAAACTTCACAGGACTACATAAAATTACCTTGTGGTGGTTCTAACAGCACCAAAAATGGGAAAATATAATTGTTTTTGCACAAAATCAATTTGAAAACACGATTAAGAGACATCGTGAAAATGGAAGGGGGACAACTCACATCGGGTTGTTTGTGTGTGTGGGTTCCTTTAAATATGGGAGCGGATTTCCTATATTTTTCAGCCGATAAAACAAAACTTTACTTTTTTTTTTTTTGGCAGGTCATGTTTCTTATTCTCTTGCACACTTTTTTTCTTTATTTTTAACATTCAGAATGCTTTAAAAATTCCATTTACAAGACAATTATTTATAATAAAATTCTATTCAATTGGGAGACTCATAACGATTGAAAACAATGTTTTTATTTGAGTTTGGGTTTGACCAATTCGTCAAAATTAAATAAAAAAAACTAATTAAGACATGCGTATCCGTCAACCTTAAACAATAATCTAACGATCTCTACTGATTGTACGAATACAAACATCGGTATAAATTCTTTATCTTTAGGGAAAGATAATGGAATCTAAACATACACAAGTCCTAACTAAAAATAATAACCGGAACGGGAAACTACTTTAAATACACATGGTGTCCAATTTTTTTACTCTATTCAATAAGTAAAAATCATAAATTGTAAAAGATTATTATTACAGAAAGGCTACTAAATAAATAAGATTTGTTAGATCATAATTAATAAACCCAAATAAAGTTAATATTTTTTGTATTAGAAACAACGAGTGGAAAATATATTCAAATCAGAATTCTAATTATGAATCACCACAAGCAAAATATGCAATTTTTTTTACTGTATTCAATAAGTAAAAATCATAAATTGTAAAACTAAAAGATTACAGAAAGGCTACCTACATTTTTCAACCGATTTCAACAAAACTTCACTTCTTTTTTTTTTTTTGGTATGTAGTGTTTCTTATTGTCTTGCACACTTTTTTCTTTATTTTTACATTCAGAATGCTTTAAAAATTCCATTTACAAGACAATTGTTTATAAAATTATTCTATTCAATCGGGAGACTGATAACGATTGAAAACAATGTTTTTGTTTGAGTTTGGGTTTGACCAATTCGTAAAAAAAAAAAAAAAAAAAACTAGTTAAGACATGTGTGTCCGTCAACCTTAAACAATAATCTTTGTCAAATTTATTTTTCAGTCTTTATGATAGTGGATACTTGATCTATCTCTTACTGTTATATCCCCGGGCAACGCCGGGCTCTACTGCTAGTGTATATATATATAAAGCTTGAAGATTGCGTTCAATCATGAAACAGACTATGGTCGCTCGCTGATATTGAGCACTTTTACCTATAAATATATCACATCTTAAAACTATATTTGTATCATATATCACACACACACATACATGACTCACCATGCATGAATATACACGCACATACGCAGAGTAAAAGGGAGAAATTTCCATTTTTACTTTTGGTATTTAAACTTTTGCTCTGTACTGTATTTTTTGACATGATAATGATGAAAATTTTTCCCGGCAAATTGACTAATTTTTGTTTTTCAATGTTTTTCGTTGTTATTGTAAATAAAAACAGTAAAAAATATCATTTTCGTCTGAGTAAATTTATGGGAAACTTTCACTTTAATTATTTACATTCTTCAATTTTGAGAATAAATAATAAATTAAAGAAAAAAGAGACATAAATATTTTTTATAGCGTTGCTCGTCATTCGTAGAATCGACACCCCTTTTTAATTACATTTCTATTCAGGCATATTGAATAAAGAGAGAAAGAGGGAGACAGTTGGAGGGGAAAAAAGAGGGATAGGGTGAGAGAGTAAGTGAGGATTTCGAGTGTTTTTTGTGATGTAACGGTGATGTAATCACTTATGTTATGTCCTTGTTGGGCTACCGTAATAAGCAGCCTACTTACTTGTCTGATCATATCCACGATTAACACAGGCACAGAACAAAAAAAAAAAAAAGGAGAGAGAGGGAGAAACGCATACAACACATAAGGATTCTTTTTTTTTTAATTAACCACTGCAGGATCAAATATTTACATACGTAGAGATACCAATGATTATTTTGTGGAAATATGGTTATCGTAAAACCCCAAGATGAGATGTTATCCACATCCAAACGAATTATGTTGGGGTAACGATCAACGTTGGAGTTTGTTTAAAGGCTTATGGTAAAGAAAGAGGAAGACGTACGGATGGTCGAAAGGCATAATACTACGATTACTTTTAACTATTAAGTAAAAAAAGAAGGAAAGTATTTTTGATTTTTACTAGTGCGTCAGCCGTTCTATGGCCGCACTCAACAACAGTCTGCCATCATCTCGCCCTCCTTTAAACAGCAACACTTCTTTTTCTTCTTCCTCAAAGAAGTGGACAACCTCTCCACCACAGTTCTATTACTCTGCAGACCAAAACAACGGCACAAACACAGACAAGGGCAGCATTGTTCACCAAGCAAAAGTGGAGACTGTACAATCTTCAGAGCATTATGATTCTAAAAATACTAAAAAGCAAGGTAAGAAATATGTCATATTTATTTATACAAAGCAAAATTCCCAAAATAAATTATTTACCCAGTTTCATATTACAAAATACCTGTTTTAACCGAAAAACATTAATGTTTTTTTTTTTTTGTTTGGTGGGTGTATTTGATCAAAGATGAAGAGGAATCCTTATTGCATTTTGCTAATTAAAGATCTCTGTTCTAAAGTCGAAAATAAAAACTAAAATATATGACCGGATTTTTTAATTTTTTTTTTTTTTTTTTTTTTTTTTTTTTCAATCAAAAAATCATTATTACTTTTTTTTATAACCTTATTCAAAATATCTTTTTACTCACAAAATAACAGAATATGAAATCGGTAAAGAATGAAATTTCATTTAAAAACATTCGACAATTTTTTTTTTTTTTTTTTAAAGGAAATTTAAAAAAAAAAAACTTGTCTCATTTCATGCATAAAAAGCTTTAATTTTTTTTTCTTGACATTTTTATCCTCTTTGCAAAGCGACAGAAAAAGGTTCTTCATTAAAATAAACACTTCAATAATAAAATAAGGTACGACACTTTAGTTTAGAGAGAGACTTTAAGTTTAAACTTTACTACTTTCTTTATCAACCTCAATTAAATTGGAAATTTGTCATAATTGAGAAAGAAAAAATGGATTTGTGGTACAAACATTGACATTTTTTTTCCTTATTAATTAAAAAAAACAAACTTTTTTTTTAAGATAAAAAACGTAGTGCTTCCATCAAACAAAAAAATTAATAATTTCCTTTCTAATTTTAAACATCTTTTTGTTTACATTTTTTTTTAGGCTTTTAAACTTGAGAATCGAATTAATTTTTAAAATAATTAATTAAAAATATGTAATTTTTTATTTTCATTTCCCCGGAAAAGTTTGTTTAAAATTTTCGGATGAAAACACAATATTTATGAACATTTTATAATTTATTATTTGTCGTGGATAATTAAAAATGAGGTGAAAATGACACAACAAAATAATAGTTTTAATTTAAACGTAAATTGAAACCTGATCATTTTTTTTAAAAATTGAAGAAAAACAATTTTCTAAAAAATTGAAGAAAAACAATTTTCTAAAAAATTGTTTGTAAAAGGCACGTTCAATGATAATCATAAAGTAGGGGTTCATTTTGTAGTACATTTTATTTATAAATTGATCCCCGACTATTTGGTCAAAATATCCGGTTATTTTATTTTTGTTTACACGTAAATTGAATTGTTGATTGTGCACAGGTGGGTTGAAGACAGTCTTTTATTAATTATTCTATCATTCTGATTTACTTTCTTCGTTTTTGGAAGTTAATTTTTTGTAAAAACAAACAATTGCAATCAAAAAAAGGCAAATTTGAGATTGCTATGGATGGAGAAGATCTACAAGGTGCTTCTTCTTCAATCACCTTTTTAGTTTTAAAACCATGCCTGGTGCCCAAGATAGTCATTTTTCCAAAGACTTATTACAAAGATCTTTTTCTCTATACTTTTCATCGGGTTATAACCTGCATAGAGAGAGACTCAAGAAGACTGTCTTCTAATTCAGCAAAAACCAACAAAAATGAATATTTATTCAATTGTGTTTATTTTGACGTTTTATTTTTCAAAAATATTCCAATCCACCGACCGTCCAGAGAAGTGGTGATAGGGAAATTTGTTTACAAAATTATAGAAATAATTTTCATTTTTTTGTTTTAAATTATACACTACAAACTCCTTTAAGTAACCATAAAAGATCTCGAATAATTGTTTCTGTTTATTTTTCGGAACATTTTCTCCAGTTTTAGTGAAAATAAAATCAGTTTCATTCTAAAAATCTAAATGAATAAAAGCACACTATTTTTCCGAATTCTTCTATTTATCCCTATGGCGAGGAAATAATTTTATTTTCATAGATGCAAGCAGGTAAAATAGGGAAAAATATTAAAAATCAAGTATCTCAACATTTATAGCAGTTGTTTTGAATTGGAAAAGGATTCTACAAAATAAGGACATGTCTGATTCCTTTTTTTTTTTTTTTTGTCCGAGTTCATTTTTTTTTACTTTATTTTTTTTTTTTTAAGTTATAGCAAAAGTATGTTCTTTAAAAATGTTTAATTTATAAACAAAAATAAAAGATGAGGTTAAAAACATGCTTTAGTTTTTAAGGTCATCAATATTTTTTATTTTATTAAATTATTTTCACATCATTGCAAAAATCTCGAAAACACGCCACAAGTGTTAGTTTTTTTTATCTGAATCATATAATCACTAAAAATATTCTTTCTTTACGACTTAGACTTCAAATCTATTCATTTAATTTAAATAACTATTCAGATATTGAAAAAAAGATCTTTATCTTCCTGTTTCAGTATCCAAAACGTTAGAAAAGAAAATCCTAAATGGGTTTGATTCCCGTTTACCGGGCACACTTGAAAGTAACGAATTATTGCCAGCTTTTCTTGTCTTTTAAACGAAAGGATTGAATAATTAAATTTTATATGGTGAAGATTACAGGTTTTTTCTTTTTATTCGGGCATGTTATTGTAAATTATTTCAATCGTTATGATTAGAAAATTTCTAACGTAAAAAAAAGTCTAAAAATTAAATACTAGATGCTTGGCTATCGCTGGCTGCCACTTTTCCTTTCCCAATAAAAACGGTAATTAAGCCAAAATAATGTGACTGAAAATCTGTTTTAAGCCCTTAGCCATCACTCCACATAAAACAATTCAAGGTCGTTTCTTTAGTTTTTACTTTTTATTTATTTGGGTCGCTTTGGTTACTAAAGTTTAGTAGAACTGAAAACAAAAGACATTTTTTTTTAAGTGCAATGTGGAGTCTGTGTCTAAACTACGAAATCCTCTAGAATGGAAAAGTCGATATTTTTACGACGGAGACTAATTTCCTTTTCTTTCTATTGACGCTTGCTTATTTTACCGTCGGAGAGTAGGTCGATCTAAAATGCGATAAAAAAAGGCTAGTTAAGAATTAATAATGAAAATATTTCTTAAAAATTAAGCCTTAGGACTCTGACAACAGTAAATGTAAGATAGCAAACATAACACAATTTGTCTCTTTTGAACACCCATCTCAGTATGTTGACAATTCTTTGGGCAGCTGACAATTAGGTTGGTTTAAAAATTAAAATTAAAGTTAAATTAAAAATGACTAATTTTCCATTATTTTGAAAACTTAAAGTTCACTTTTTGGTGGTGGGTGAAAAGTAAAACAGAAAACAATAAGTTTCTTCAGTTCGTTTTTAGAAAAGAAGAATGCGTTTTTTGTTTCGTATTTAAAATTTTTTTAGTCACGTTTAAAAAACAGGGAATTAATGATGGAATCCAAATTTTAAATACTGAAAAATTTTGAACGTCGTCATTTATTTCGATTTAACTTTTCATTTTAGCGATGAAACTTTATGAAATACTCTCCTGACATTATTTTTTAAAATATCGCTAGTTGGCTTAACAACAGCATGCATTTCCTTTTTCTTTCTTTTTTTTCTTTACAATTCTCAAAGAAAAAAAAAGAATTGTTATTTTAATTAATGAATGTTTAGATTAATGACAGCAAGAATCTAATTTTAATTATTTCCGACCTTTACATCAAAAATTATTATGCTCATCTTTGTTGTGATACTCACAAGCAAGTTCACAACACGTTTCGTCGACCATTGTACTCTGCGGTTTTCTTCATACTCGGTAACATTAACTAACAATAGAATTTTGATTGTAATGCGGATTGTTCTTGCTCTCATTCCGCTAAGTAAGAAGACGATATCTCCTTATACTGTTCAGAAGGTAACTCCAAAAAAAAAAAAAAATAAGACAATGAAAAGAAAACTCTTTTTAGTCTTTCTTGAAGCTTTTATTTATTCATTTATTTATTTTTTAGATTTTAATTCCAATCGAATAGATTTTTAAATTTAATATTTCCAATAAGAAGCAAAATAATTTGCTGTATTTCAAACCGAATTTAAATTGATTTTTTTTTTTTTTTTTTTTTTTTTTTTTAAATCTCTAAAATTGGCCGTATTGGCAAAAAATCTTTCAATACGACATAATTCTCGTTTTTAACAAAATTTTTTTCAAAAATAGACATTTCTGAAACTTTATTTGAGGATGATTAACTGATTTAAAGTCTAATTAGTCACTAGTGTGAATTAGCACAAATATTACTTTTAGTTTAAAATATTACAGAAAATCATTTAGCCTATGTTTGGCAAAATTGAGTAAAGGGCATGTAACTGTAAAAATTACTTGATGAATACAACGTGAACACCTTTTTTATAGTTTTTTTTTTTTTTTTATGCAGTTAAAACTTTAGGAAAATATTTTAAGTAAACTAATATTTTATTGAATTTTAGGTATTTTGGTTTTATAGTCTTACTTACGAAGACGCTTGTTGCAGAAATGTTAGAAAATTACCAGTAGATTTTTAATTTACTATAGTTATCTTATAGTTATTCTTATTTTCTGATAATGTTGGGTATGGACATGTGTGTTTACAAAAATCGGCACATTTATACAGACACAAAAATTAAAAATTCTTTTTCAAATACTGAGAGTTGCTTTTCATTTTTCATTTATTAGTAAATATTATCTAACCACTACAGATTAAGACAGAATTTTAATTTAAGATTTAAAAGTTTATAAATTATTCTAATTAAATTTTTTTTTTTAAATTCTTGTAAATAACAGACCTGAGAGCATAGAAATTATGTACATTTCACCCACTAAACATAAACCAGACAAGCAAAAACTTATAAAATCACCCTAATACATTAGCATGATGTAAAAAATTATATGGTGGAATTGTCGAAGCTTAAAAGCAAGCATAAATAAACTCTTAATGAATCAACTTCCTGCTGTTATTTGCCTTCGGGGAACTTTCCTAAAGCCTAATGATAAAATATAAAACTATACTCAATTTAACTACATACATAGCACTCAACGTAGGATATCTGTGGGACATATCAATACTAATCAGAAATTACATCCCCCAAAGTAAAATACTTTTAG